TACCAGCGGCTGAAAATTTCGTTCGTCGGTACGACGATTTTTCAACAATGTATCGTGTGTGTGTGTGTGTGTATATATATATATATATATATATATATATATATATATATATATATATATATTATTGTACAACGTTTGTTCTAATAAACTGGTATAAACAAACCGTTTGATTTCAATCTGTGGAGCACGAAAAGCACAATACAGTGCTATTTATAAAATAATTATATCACTGCCTAAAAATGCCAATATATATATATATAATTACATAAGCGTTAATTTTGGTGGATACTCATATTTGAGCAGACACTGCTTATTTATTAAACAGTACATTTATTTATTTTTGTATACCGGCCTGAATATTCGAAAAATCTTATTAGAGAAAAATATGCACGTTTCAGCAGGATTCGAACCTGCGTCCCCTAGAAGGTACCGTCGTTAGATCTGACGCGCTTTAACCTCTCAGATATTTCTCTAGTGCGTCGAATACCGGACAAAGTTCGAATAGTATTTTTAAACACAGATTTTTCTCTGACTTGAAATAGACATTTCTGCTCAGTTTCGTATCCTAACGTACGCAAAACAATTTGTAAAGAAAGGTTTTTTTTTTTATTGAGACGACAGATTTTTATTACTTAAACGTTATTTTTAGCGGATGCTCGTATTTGAGTAGACGCTCCGTTTATTTATTAAACAGTATATTTATTTTCGTTAACTCGCCTAAATATTCGAGAAATCTTATTGGTGCAAACAGTATGGATCTTTGTAGACTAACAAGAGATGCAATACATTAACAATAATCTCAGTTATCACTCTATATTGGGCAAAACGTCCAGCTTGATTTGGCGCAGTGCCACATCTGTCGAACGCTATTGAGGATTAATATATATATATATATATATATATAACATAAAAGTTATTTTTATTCGATATTTGTATTTGAGTAGATGCTCCGTTTATTTATTAAAGAGTATATTTATTTATTCGAGAAATCTTATTAGGGAAAATATGTGCTCTCCAAGATTCGAACCTGCGTTCACGTAAGGAAAATTTAGAACAGATAATGATAAAGCATAATTGACATTCGTTGTCTTTTATATTTAACATTATATGTTTGAATATATATATGACATTGAGCGCTTTTACCCATAAATATAGCAGAGCTTATAGCTATATTTTCTCATATATATATATATATATATATATATATATATATATATATATATATATATATATATATATATGCGTGTGTGTGTGTGTGTGTGAGAGAAAATATATTCTGTTGAGTTTTCTTCTAGACTCGATGAATTAATTATGATTATCTCAAATCCTTCTAATAATTTCTATCACTTTTATATCATTGTTTGAACCGGCTTCTAATGCTCTGGATGGAGCGGCTTGAGGATAGTAGTCGTGGCTCGTGGGGGCACAGTCCTATGGAGAAGGGGAACTCGGATGTGTTTCTCCACGGAATATGTGATCGAGCGGCGCTACATCGAGTCTAATTCGTTACAACCTCGCCACCGTGACCCGTTGGAACAGTCGCTATGACGTTTGCCTGATAACGTAACTGTTCGGGTTTCAATTCTCTCTAGTAAATGCGCACTGCTGATCAATCCCAAATATAGGACGAAACGGCCGTCTAGTTCTTTCTGCATTCTGTTGAGGTTTCTTCAAGACTCGATGAATTACTTAATGATGTTATATGTGTGTAAACAAAGGGGATCGATTTCTTTATTTATCCGACAGATTTTTTTCAGTCGGTGCTCGTATTTGTCGAACGCCACTGAAGATTGAACTCACTACTCTACCAATCTTGCTTAATATATGTTTGCATCTGGCATTTAATTGTATCATATTAACGTTTCTTTACACCTAAATTAATGTTTATTACCCTATAAATTAGCGTAAGTGTAGCTTAGATGTGGCACAAGGCCGAAAGTATGGGGCACTCAGTGATCGAACTCACTACTCACTCGTAATTGTTCTAGCGAGATAAGCTTGCTAACCATTACACCGCCTCAAGATACCCACATATATTATGTACATAGGCGAAATAAGGCGTGATAAGGTCGCATTTTCACCTGGCATTCTCAAATACAGACGAAAAACCAACATCTGCTTTTTTAAAGTAATAATATTTCAATCCCGAAACCATACTCTGACCACAAATTCATCAACGTGTATGTGAATTTATTTTAAATGGTGTTTTCATGACATTAATTTTAAAACGAAATTTTTCTGGACGAATTTCTCTGGGAAATGTTTATTTTAAAATAACCTGAACTCCATTTGATTAAAAACAGATATTACGTATGTAAACTATAAAACCCAGGTGAGTTGGTAAAAAAAAAGTTCATTCATGGATATTTTATAAAATGGACAAACAATTTTACGGCAAATACATGTGAGTAAATAAATGATTTTTTTTAAAAGTTATTAGACGAAATAACAATTAATATACGAACCTTTCGCCGCTTTTACTAATTCTCTTTGTTGATTGGTTAAATTTCTCCATCCACGTACTAAATTGGTTTGGTTCGTAGCATAGACTGAAATCAAGATAAACAGTTTCGCTCAGTTTTTGAGTAAATAGTCGAAAAAAATATTCGTGCACTAGGAGTGTCTATGGACCACATGCACACACACACACATATATATATATATATATATATATATATATATATATATATATATATCCAAATGTAATGAGAACGAAGAAAGTAATATAAATTCTAACGTTCACAGCATTAATTCAAAAGAGGGCTCTATAGCATACATACGGACAAAAAACTTACTCACTACAAATATGCATTCTTGTTTCGATGCGCATGCATCTCGACTGGTGAGAACCAAACATGCATAACCATTTTGGTTCTCACCAGTCCAGATGCATTCATATCGAAACAAAAATGCATCTTTGCCGTAAGTAAGTTGTTTTGTGCGTATGTAAAATTAATATATATATATATATATATATATATATATATATATATATATATATATATATATATATATGTAATACGTGTGAAAAATGTCATTATGCTCGAAGCAATAAGTATGCAAAAGAAACAATACGCATTAAATACGGAACTTCGACTAATTCACTAAAATATGTTAGCAGACATTAATGAAAAAAAAAATGGCTCAAAATAATAAAAACAAAGTTTTATCTTTAAAATCGTTATTATTCAGAGGAAACACCAAAGGATTATTGATTATTAAATTATATTTTTTCATCATTTTTACAACTTCGAAATTTTGGTTAAAAATCGCGTTTTTCAGCAACAGTACGGTGGCCTAGTATTAGTATAGGAAATTTTAGCGTCATTTTTTCGGTGAAAAACACAATTATTGGAAATTCTTGTAAAAATTAATAATTGTTGGATTTTAATGAAACATTCAGGACTTATTGAATCAAATTATTTTACAAATGTTTTTTAAGAAAATTTTGGTAAAAATAATTTAACATATGTTACCTGACAGACAGACACGGACAGACACATACTTATTTAATTTTGTAGAGTTTAACGTTTATATGAGTTAACAGAACTTATTGGATAATTTAAATCGTCACTTTCTTTTGTAAAACAGAACCCTCAGTTACCAAACATCTGCCCTGAATCGTAAAATAAAAAAAAATGCCATAAAACTATGGAATATTTAATCAGAATTGCTTTTATGAAGAAGATATATTATGGATACTATTGTTTTAAGAAAAAAATTTTTTCAATGAATATTGAATTCTTACGAGAATTGTTTGAATATTTTTATTTGTGTAAACGTGCTGATTTTTGTACATACGGACATCCATACACGGCATTATCAGAAAATAAGAGCAATGTCGAGAATAAATTTAATGCCAAAGTACCTAAAACTCAGTAAAACATTAGATTACGGAGAATATTCCCTATTTACTTTTAACATTACTGAGTAATTAATATATATATATATATATATATATATATATATATTAATTGCAAATTTGTAATAAAATATACGAGAAACAGCTACCACCTACCTGGCTCGCTGTTTGAGAAAAAAAGAGTAAAAAAACAATTATGCGAATAAAATGGCGCAATGTAATTTTTAAGATAATAGAAAATACAGTGCTGTTTAAATTTTAGTCTAAAATAAATTTAGCAGAAATACTAAACAATAATAGCGCTGCAGTTTCACCTTTGGATCGTCGGACATCTGCTACTGCCTGAAGACCTCCAGATGACATCGTGGTAAATGGAAAGACGCTTTATGAATATATATATATATATATATATATATATATGTGAAGAAATATAGTTTTATGGTATGCTATATTTATGGGATAAAGTGCTCAATATCAGAAAAAGAGTGTGTGTAAATATAAAAGTGAACATTGAAGTCAACACTCAGAGGCGACAGACTGTTTCTCGCTAGACGCAATGGTCAGTCCACGTGTATAAATATATATATATACATACATACATATATATATATACATATATATATATATATATATATATATATATATATATATATATATATATATATATAATCATTATGAAAAATAAAGCGACACGCAGATGTAATTTTGACACAGATTTATTCTCTCTCTCTCTCTTTCTCTCTCCTTTCCCTCTCTCTCTCGCTCACGATCGGAGATTTTCACATATAAACCTTGTGGACAGGGGAATCGACACTGCATGTCTAACACAATGGTTTGATGATTCCTTTAGACGGAAACTGCTAGTCACCACATATTTTGATGTCTATGTTTTTATGTGCACTCTCTCTCACTCTCTCTCTGCATGTCTAACGCAATGGTTTGATGATTCCTTTAGACGGGAAACTGCTAGTCACCACATATTTTGATGTCTATGTTTTTATGTGCACTCTCTCTCACTCTCTCTCTCTCTCTCTCTCTCTCTATATATATATATATATATATATATATATATATATATATATATGCATGGATAGATAGATAGATAGATAGATAGATAGATAGATATAGTCAGACAGACACATAGATAGATAGATAGATAGATAGATAGATAGATAGATAGATAGATAGATAGATAGATAGATACTTAGCTTAAGTTAGTTTTAGCACTAATATCGATTTGAAATCAACTGATGACTTAACTAACTATAAATTAATAATGATCTGTGAGCAACTTGTAAACCATTACTTCATTGCGCTGCCACGGAGTGCGTCGCCGATCAAGCAAGGGATATATTTGCGTTGATAAGGCACTATCCGTCCTCGCTTGATTGGCGATGCAGTCTGTGGTAGAATCGGTCTAAAGAGCCTCCTAAAGAGATTTCTGGAATATTCATACCGACAGACGAAAATGAATAAAGATTGTGGTTAATAAATAAACGGGGCGTTTATTCTAATATGGATTGCCACTAAAAGTGATAAACTATATCTCAGTCTATATAATCGTTATTAAATGCTACTAAAAGATTTAAAAAATACTGCAATAACACACACACATACCTACACACACACACACACACACGCACACACACACACACACACACACACACACCTACACACACACACGGCATGTTTGTCTTGTATGTGCTTTTGCATGTATGTTTTATTGTATATATATATATATATGTATGTATATATATATATGTATGTATATATATGTATGTATACGTAAGTTTTATTGTATATATATAGGAGGCACGGTGGAGTAGTGGATAGTAAATGTACTGGATTCCAGTCGAATCCTTTACATTTACTTACGTACTAATACCCTTGGGAAAGGTATTAAACCCTTTTCTTCTCCCTCCAGCTATGTCTTCCCAAATGAGCAATGGTGAGAGGAAAAATATCATTCAAGCCTTCAGTAACGGTACCAACATTCAGACTCTGGCTTCCATCTTCAAAGTCCATTCAAGAACCATCAGGAGAACAGTGAATAAGTTTTAAAAAGAGGGAACAGTAGAGAGGAAAACTGAATCAGGAGGTCACAACAGGAAGAGGGATCATCATTTGAATTTAGAGCAAAATACATTTTTATTATTCAAAGTAGAGTCCAATAGTTTTATAATAACCTCAGAGAATTCCAATAAGATATCTTTAATCATTTCTAAAATACAACGGTTCAAAGCTTAATCGAACAATTGGACAATTTTGCTGTTACACGATTAAGCCAATTTTGATGTTGCACCAGGTATACGTATTTGTGTATGCTTCACTCCCTCTCCCTCTTTCTCTCATTCTGTATTCTCATTACACACACACACACATATATATATATATAAAATTATCGATACATATATATCTATATCTGTATATATGTGTGTGTGCAATCCTATACATATATATGTAATTATGCATGTATATATATATATGTGTGTATATATATATATGCAATTATATACATATATGCATATATATCTGTGTGTAATTATATATATATATGTGTGTGTGTGTGTGTGCGCGTGCGTGTGTGTGTGTCTAAGTGGAAAGCCTGAAAATTGCGTTCAAGCGTTAAATATACTGTCGCCACTCAGTGTTGTCCTCAGTGTTCACTTTCATTTTAAACTCGCTCTGTCTCTGACATCGAGCACGTTTATCCATAAATATAGCATACCTTAATACTATATTTTTTTGTTATATATATATATATATATATATATATATATATATATATATATATATATATACACCTGTTCGAGCATGTCAGCGATTGTCAAGCTTGATTCGTAAACTACTCGTATAGTGAAAGTAGATAGATCCTCCCTGGCTTTGTCACTGCTATGGTCTTGTGCCAGATTTAGTTAAGCCTCGTCTATATCTATCTATCTATCTATCTGTCTATCTATCTATCTCTCTCTCTCTCTCTCTATATATATATATATATATATATATGTACATATAAACGACTTTTCTCGATCTACATGCACCTCGTTGCACCTGCACGTGCGCAACGTGACGAGGCCACCCCAAAGTGGAATAGACAAGCAGCAATTTTTGCCGGAAGGGGGGGGCGACGCTCTGATCTGGTCATCTATTTGCGCTTGAGACGAATGGATGCCGCCCCCCCTTACCGGCCATATTGACAGGTTAGGTCAATATTTTCATGGCAGCCTTGATTACACGATATTAAAAAGGGAGGGATGTGTTGACCAACGTAAAAGGTGCCGAAAGGCGGCAAAGCGCTGCGTAAGTATTGGCGCGAAGAGTCGAGCAACAGCCAGGAGGAGAGGGTAAACAAGTGGGTTGTGGCGGTCGTCCATTGCGAGCAATTGTGTTTAGAGATAAATGACGTCATAGGTTTGTAGTGAAGTGTATTTAATTGCAAAAGGGCTGATAAAAGAAACGATTTTTCCTTTCTTGCTAAGTAATTCTTATTATTATTTACAAAGCTTAGCACAGTGTGGCACAAGGCCACAAGTAGGATGCATTCAGTGAGGTTCAAAGTCATTTCACTCGTGATGATCTTCGTGGCGAGCTTTTTATTCAATGTTTCGTGCCTATAGGTATAGTTATATAGGAATAAATTGTCGCTGCCGACACTGGAGTTTGAACACAGATCACCAGAAAGCAAACGCAGGAGATCCCATTTTGAATATGTAGATCACGTGATTGTAAAGGAAATGTATCTATGCGAATTAGCGTGGCGTCGAAGTGATCACTACACTGATTATTTTGTCCTTAGTTTTTTTCCTTCAAGTTAACTTAGCTAGAGAATATATGCTCATTGGCCCCTTTTCTTTCTGTCCCCATTTTTTCTTTTGTTTAATTCTCCATCCCCTCCCTCAGTGATGGTCAGTGATGTTAGTTCTCTGGTGGATGCGGGGCGCTTTTTCGTTTCTGTTGTTTGACTGAGTATGTAGTTAAGTGAATGCTTAGGATGAATGAATGTCTTATATTATTATCTCATTGAATATTAAATTTCGTCCAGTGAACTGATATTTCTGCCACAGTTAAGGATTGTAGAAGATTTTTATTACTAACACTATTTTGTTTAGTTTCTTTGTATATCGTTTTATTCATTTTTGTAAATATTCATTAGGGTTTAGATTTTTAAATTGTTATTTTATTCCCCCCCCGCCTCCACTCACAATTAATTGTACATACAAGGATTGGTTTGGACTTTCATAGAGACAATGAGGTACTATGGTGGATGTAGTAAGAAAGAATACTTTGTTTTGGTGTTAGGAATATTGTTGTATGCTTGGGTCAGTGTTTGTGGCTAGCTAAGTTTAAAGTTAATACAGAAAAAGACCGTCCTTTTCCCCATTCCTCTTTTGGCCTTGTGCCACATTTTGTACAAATACAAATAAATATTTCACTATAGTGATTACTATTGGGATCACAATTCAGTGGTTACTATTCGAGTGAGTATTATCGAGCAAGTACTATTTAGTGCGAGTGTTATTCGAAGGCGTCTGGCACCAGTATTGTTCAACGGCGTTACTATAGTTGTATCTGCGATTACAAAGTCTCTACTACAACTAGCATTACGAAAGTGACAACGAGTATTCGTTGACATTACAAAAGTGGCAACGAGTGTTCGTTAACATCGCAAAAGTATTTAGTAAATTTAACGTAGTCTGACACAATGACATATACATGGGACATTCAACGGGTAAGTCCTCATTAAGATTCAAAACTTTGCTCTTCACTTCAGGGAAAACTAGCTGAGCAACTTCCCTGTTTTTTTTTGGGGGGGTTACATCGGAAGTTTTTTTTTAAATGAGGAATTCTCATTATTAAATGCCGTTTCAAGAGACTAGGTTATTTTTTTCATCATTTCACCCCAAGCAAGGCGATATTGCCGCTATTGCCGCAAGGAGTTACAGGGGGTGGAAGAGAATGAGAAGTCTTTAGTGAGAAAAAGGAACAGGATTCAAGAAGACAGAAGATGACGATTGATATTGCATTTAATTTTTGAGGCGGCAGAGAAGCAAGAAATCGGAATGGAGATCCACAGGCGATAAGTACAAGAAAAAGAAAGTTAGAATAGAACTAACGGTTTCACCTAACTAGTTCAACTGTAAAACGATGAGGCCTAGTTGCCAATCTAGTACTGCGGTTAATTTCGTAAAATAGAGGTACTAACGAGAAAAGCTCGTCAGAACAAGTGCCATGAAAATATTTGTAGAAAAGACAGAGAGAAGCCACGTCTCGACCGTGAGAAAGTGACTGAAGTCGAGATGCCAGGTCGAGAGCGATTACATCACAGACACTTCTTTGAATTTTATCAAGAATTTCGAGATATATAATAGGAACACCACACCGGATATGACGACAATCTTCAATGCACGGAACAATGGTGAATTAAAGGGTTCGACCTCCTGGGAGTTCAACTTTTCTTGAAAGGTCACAGTCACGTTCAATAGAAGAAATAGACAAACGACACACTGATAAATAAGACTGGCGAATATTAACTGAAAACAAAATATTTCCTAAGCAAGAAAAGCTAAGATCTGGCGGACCTTCTAATATCGCAGCGTGGAATACCTACATCTCGTCAGCTCAACTGTAAATTGATGAGATCTTGACGCCAGTCAAGTGCTGCGCTTAAATTCAAAAACTCTAGGTACCATAGCCAAGAGCGGTAATTAATTGTATAAAAAAGTATAAAATATGGCACGAGGCCAAAATGGGGGAAAAGGTTGGTCTTCTGTCTTAACATTAAACTTAGCTAGTCACAATAACTGACCCAAACATATTACACTATTCCTTACACCAAAATAACGCATTCTTACTTACCATTCTTACCACAAACACCATAATACCTCAAAGTCTATATGAAGTCCTAATTAGTTCTTATTTGTACAATACTTGTCTGTGCGTGGACGGGAATATAATAACAATTTAAAATTTAACTCCCAATGTGTATTTATAAAGATGAACAAAAACTATTTACAAGAAACTAAATAAAATAGTGTTGGTAATAAAAAAAAACCACAATCCTTAATTGTGGCAGAAACATCAATTAATTGGACGAAATTAATGCAGAACTTTAATAGTATACAACACTCATTCGTCCAAATACTCACTCAAACACACACCCAGGTAGGTGGCTCGCTGCATTCCTCTATCTCACGTACCCTCAATATACCCCGTGAGTGTTAAGTTTTCCAGGCTCTCCTTCCTCAGTATATGTCCAAGAATTTCAGCTATCTCTCCCTAATTCCACATCACACTGAAACACCTGATGATCTTCGAAGTTAAGCAACGTCGAGCTTGGTCAGTACCTAGATGGGTGACCGCTTGGAAATACCAGCCGCTGTAAGCTTCGATATGTGGGATAATGGTTTGGAATTTTTATTCAGAGAGCCGAGTTCCAATTCCAGTCGAATTCATTATATTCACTTACGCACTAACATCCTTAGGAAAGACATAAATTCACTTCTTCTGGCCCCCACTATGGGATAATTAGTTAGACTTTATCAGTAAACCATTATTATTCCCCCACCCCAAGAAAAATTCTTACTATCTAAAAATATTTTATGGCTTTAAATAACCTTCAAAGAGCCGATAAACCGTAGAAAACAAATCAATTTATCAAATACTGATGTATATACAGGCATGTTTTTAGATTTATTTACATTATCTCCCGTATAAATGCATAGAAACTACCGTGGCTGCAAAGTAAGGGATCAGTTTATACATTGATTGTAATATAGAATTGATCCCGCACTTTATATCCACATTATAATTTCTTATTTGTTTATCAAATTCTGAGTAGGTATTAATCCACCTCCTCTCTCCCCAGCAATGGGTTAATTAGTAAGACTTGTATCACTAAATTATTATTATCTAAAAAAAAATATTCTGACAATTTAAAAATATTTCATGGCTTTAAAAAAAATCTGCAAAGGGTTAATAAACTGTAAAAAACGATCCAATTAATCAATTTTTCAAATTTATTACTTGATTCAGTCGTCGCTCAATAGGGATCTGCTTATAATATTTTCTGGCTTTAAATAACGCTAAATGGGTTGATAAGCCGTAGAAAACGAACCAGTCAAGCAAACGTGCATATACACTTAATTTGAAGGAAATTGAAATGGGTATATGTGTCACGAGTGTTAATTCGTCTTTCTGTCTGACAACAATCCCTGGTGAACAGGAAAAGTGCATAAGTCGAAATGCGTAGCCAACTGAAAATATTTTACGAGTTTTCTGTATGTCAACTATTTTATTTTTATGTATGTGTTGGACAAACAATTTAGATTTGCTCATCATTCTATCAGTGAAGTGACAGGTCAATTCAGAAACTAGTAATTTTAAAGAGTTAATTCAAAACTGGGATCTGTTTATAATATTTTTCTGGCTTTAAATAACGCTAAATGGCTTGATAAGCCGTAGAAAACGAACTAGTCAAGCAAACGTGCATATACACATAATTTGAAGAAAATTGAAATGGGTATATATGTCCCGAGAGTTAATTTGTCTTTTTGCCAATCATCAATCTATCAAATACTGATTATGTATACACGCATGTCTTTTAGATTTATTTACATTATCTCCCGTATAAATGTATAAGTGTGCAAAATTATGATAAACTGACTCCACATTTTGCACATACGTTGTTATTTATAGAAAAAAATACATTAGTTTATTTGAAAATATATATCAATCAATGTGTTCTTTCTGTTGCATTTTCTTTCAAGACTTCCACGTTGCTTATTCGCTCCAATTTTCAGTTTCCTTCTATAGAACTACATTCTTGTTGTCTCCGGTTTGGAGATTGTCCAGCATTCACTGCCAAATAAGAGAACGGGTATCACATAGCAATCCAGAACAGTTTTCTTTGTTCCTAATGAATTTTCTGTGTTTCTCAGCTTGCTAATAGATGACAAGTTGCCCTTTACACAGAAACCGTTGGGTATCGCTTAGTTTAACCTAGTCTGGCACAAGATGCCATATGTGGAGCACCCAGTGGAGGACCAGCTATGCAATAGAAATGAACTACGAAAATTAACTGTTGTCTATTACTCTACGACGAAATGTCCAATACGCGCTGATAGGTAATAACGGCGCGACTCTCTTTTTAGCAAATATACTGACAATAAAAGTGAAAGGGCATTTTGACTATAGGTTTTGAGGAATAGAAAATATAGATACATTGAGAAAGAGAAAACTAGGACATAGATAGATAGATAGATAGATAGATAGATAGATAGATAGATAGATAGATAGATAGATAGATGGACGGAGCGGAATAACAAGCCGTGTGAAAATGTGTTTTTCATACAAACACTAACACCCACTTATCTATATGATTAGAAGGAGTGATTAAACACAAAGCCTCCCTCAGAAAATAATAATAATACAACGAAGCTATGAAAGTAAATGTGTTTAACCCGAGAAAAAACGTAACGTCCTCGAAAAGCACTTTTGTGAATAGAATAGAGAAATTTGCGAAGTTTGCAATTCGCTAGCAACCATAACTATGTCAGTTAGTCTGTCTATCTCATAATAATCTCTCACATTAGGTAACAAGGTGTGTTACTCTAATACTATCTATCTATCTATCTATCTATCTATCTATCTATCTATGTTAATATATATTTAATCTTCCAGTTTGTTCATATCTATCTATCTATCTATCTATCTATCTATCTATGTTAATATATATCTAATCTTCCAGTCTCTTCATATCTATCTATCTATCTATCTATCTATCTATCTATGTTAATATATATATCTAATCTTCCAGTCTCTTCATATCTATCTATCTATCTATCTATCTATCTATCTATCTATCTATCTATCTATCTATGTTAATATATATTTAACCTTCCAGTTTGTTTATATCTATCTATCTATCTATCTATCTATCTATCTATCTATGTTAATATATATTTAATCTTCCAGTTTGTTCATATCTATCTATCTATGTTAATATATATTTAATCTTCCAGTTTGTTCATATCTATCTATCTATCTATGTTAATATATATTTAATCTTCCAGTTTGTTTATATCTATCTATCTATCTATCTATCTATCTATCTATCTATCTATCTATCTATCTATCTATGTTAATATATATCTAATCTTCCAGTCTCTTCATATCTATCTATCTATCTATCTATCTATCTATCTATCTATATCTATCTATCTATCTATCTATCCAGAACAAGATCCAATGTGTGAGACTAAATGTGATTCACGTTATTCGTCTGAATGTCTGATTTCTTATTTAACTGTATCGTTGTAGAAATTAGATTTTAACTCACATTTAGAAATTTTTTCGGATGACGCCGAGGAAATATGTCACGGCAATTCTTTATATTATTGATATTTCTTTTTCATTCTCATTTGCAGTGATGCCAAAACTCTTGAATTTTGCCTGGTTTTCGTTGGAACACCTGTTTCTTCCAATTTTCCAAACTGCATTGTGACTGTCAGTTTCAAATCATAAGCAATCATTCAGGCCATGTGTTACTACTCTTTGTAGGGGCTGTATGTATATGCCACTGTAGCATAAAGGGAAGCAAAGGAGAAATAAACCGGTTTACTCTTAGATTATTTAGAGTCGAGTTTGAGTTGTTGCATTCCGTGTTGACACTGGCTTCAGTTCTTCAGACTCCAATGCCGCATCATAGACTGTATCAACGATGGACGATTTCTTTTTCTTATTCGCTTTATTATACGCCAGGGTCAGACGTGGCAGCGTCGATTCTAGGCAGTAGCGGGAGGAAGATGATTAAGGGAATAATCCGATTCCTTGGCTTAGCATTGCACCACGGGCGGACTAGTCTCTCTAAAGAATCTGAATGCGGAAGGCGTGTTACCTCTTCAAAATTATTTATAACCAAAATTTAAACAAAGTCAATCCATCACTATCAGAATATCAATAGTTTCTGACCGCATTCTGCAACAGAGTGTGTAGTAATGGACTTCATTCTTTTTATGTGCCGTGTCCTTTCACGACGTAACTGACCATGGCTCTCTACTTCCTCCCTATACCTTGTAGCTCTCAATAAGTTTCATCCCACTGCCTAACCCTAACCCTAACCCTCCTCCAGATCATATTCAATCATTCACTTGCTTAAGCCCTCCAGATATGCCATGCATTGCTTTCTCTTATCTCTTTTCCCCTCTATTTGACCTGTGAGTATCAGATTCTCCAGGCCCTCCTTTCTCATTACGTGTCCAGGAAATTCCATCTGTCTCTTCCTGTACGCGTTGGAAATACTGGAAATCAAGCAAGTACGAAAATTTCAATATTTGGGAATTTTTTTAACGGAGAACAGAAAATGTGGCATAAAAATCTGAAGCCGAATAGGAATAGCAAACGATGCCTTCTAAAAGCTAAGCAAAGTATTACGAAACAGGAAAATATCATTGGAAATAGAGAATATGTTGCTATGTAATATCAGTCCGCTTCTATGGCAGTGAATGTTGGACACTTTATTTACAGATTTGAAGAAGAGGATACTTGAGGCAATAGAAATATGGTTCTACAGAAGGATGCTGAGAATACTATGGACTGAAGATGGGAGTAACGAGGAAGTTTCAAGGAAAACAAATGGAAACAATAAAGACACTTATGGTTAGAATGACAAAGAGACAATTAAAATTTATACTCGGTTGTGACCTAATGAGGAAAGAAGGCTTGTAAATTTGACACTCACAGAACATATTGAATTCAAGAGGGACAGAGGAAAGCAACGAGTAACCTATCAAACAAGATTGGGGGACTTTACGGAATGGTGAAAAAAATTAACGTTACTAAAATCTATAAAGGATAGGAAGGCGTGGAGAGCTATGATCTCCCATCTCCTTAAAGACACTATGATCAACTCACTAAAATACATTTTTTTATGTAGAGCTATGATCTCCCATCTCCTTAAGGAACACTATGATCAACTCACTAAAATACATATTTTTTTAAATGTATGACCATATATGGGGCTCTCAGGGAAGATCGAACTCACTAATAATCGACAAAAATATCAGCTCGTTAACCAGTGCCTCAATTCGAAGCACCCGTTGGCAAGCAGAAAATTGATAACAATTCATTCAATTTAATTCAGCATTTTTTTGTTTTTGTTTTTTATACCTGTTTTTCATATCGGGTGGTATTGATAGTGTCAGGCCACCACTCCCCACCCCGATCTGCACCCGATTTTGACCTCCCTTCAATAATGCTTTCGTTCTCGAAATCTTTAAATAGGAAGAGTATTGTTTCTATCGCGAGACGAGAGACGAGACGTCGTTCCTCGAACCGAAATGTCGGTACGTGTTCTTGCATGGTAAACATATTTGTGTTTGCCGCAGTAAATGTTTATTCTGCGCTCGGTGGTCCGTAGGAGAACCATGGAAAGAGAGACGAAAGGTAAGCATTGTGGACAGGAATCAGTGGGTGGCATGAGATACTTGGCAAAAGTACCTTTCCTTCTTGGTTATTTGTTTCTTTATATATTTATATATATATATATATATATATATATATATATATATATATAAACCTCGATTAATGCGCTACAAAATTTTATATACCAAATTCGATTAGTGCATGCATATTACCTGATTATACGGTAAAACATACTTCAGTTTTTAACCATAGTAATTGTAAATTGCCTTTTTTTTTTATAGTTACCGCTGTACACATTAGTCGCACTAATCGGGGGATTCCTATATATATTGTGTATTTAGGCAGCAATCCTTTATTTATACATGTTTCATTAAAGAGGTCAGACAAGATACTGCGATTAAGCGTTTTATTTAATTTTTCTTGTGTTCGAACAAGTGTTTTTTTTTCTAGGCATAGAATGTGTAGAATCTGTCTATATGTTCTGTAATTCCGAGCGATTTCGGCTTTACTTTTAGACATTATCATGGATGGCTTTATTTTTACTTTTAACTGGATGTATGGTGTGTGTGTGTGTGTGTTTGCTTCTAGAGTTATGAGGATGTTCTATTTTCCGAATACAGTCAGCACGTTGTGGCCGTGTTCGTAGTTAATATTACTGTGTACTGGCTTTTTCTTTTTTATTATTAAGGTTTGAACACAAAAAAAATAATAATCTTAATTGCAGTACCTTGTCTGTCATCTTTAATGAAATATATATATATATATATATATCACTCAAACGTTATTTTCAGTGGATATCCACATTTGAGTAGACGCTCCGACATTATTTGTAAACCATATTTTTATTATCATCTATCTGCCTGAATATTCGAGAAACCTTATTAAAGAAAAATATGCGTCCTACGGTAGGATTCGAACCTGCGTCCCCATTGGTAAGAGAAACGGCCAACTAATCCGACGTGCTTATACCGTTCAGCCACGAAGGACAGTGCCGATCAATCAAGGCTGAACAATCCCTTTAAGCGAAATTCTTCTCGTCATAGATTCTCCTAATTTGATGACCAGAAAACTATTTACTGTATTTTCATCGATGCTGTAGGGTTGGAAAGGGAACGTTGTAAACAAACGACTAGGCCCATAATAACTCAGCCACATACTAATAGTATACATAACTAATATATAAAAATAGTAGATATAACTATATAATATATATATATATATATATATATATATATATATATATATATATATATATATATATATATATTGATTGATTGATTGTTTGATTCGTTTTATCCACTTTATTAACCCTTTGCAGGTTATTTAAAGCGCAGATGCATATTTAAGATCGTAAGATTTTTTTTTTTTAAAAATAATGGTTTAGTGGTACGAGTTTTACTAATTAACCCATAGCTGCGGGAGAAGAAGTAGATATTCTTCCCAAGGGTATTTGTGCATATGTGAATATAAGGAACCTAACGGGAATTAGAACTCGACCCTCCGATTAACAATTTTGAGTCATTATCTATTACACCACCCACACATCCAAGCTTACAGCACATGGTATTCCAAAAGGGTCACCCATCTAGGTACTGACCAGGCTCGACGTTGCTTAATTTCGATATCGTACAGCAACCGGTGTTTCAAGCTGACATGACCGTATATATCTATCTATATATATATATATATATATATATATATGATAAAATAAAATAGATATATATATATATATATATATATATATATATATATATATATATATATATATATATATATATATATATATATATTAGATACACTATATTTATAATTAAAAGTGTTCAGTATCATGTATAGAGCATGTAAATATAAAAGTGGATACTGGTGTGGCAGTGAGCGGCGACAGTTTGTTCCAGGCTTGAATGCAATCTTTAGTTATATATATATATATATATATATATATATATATATATATATATATATATATATATATATATATATATATAGTGTATATTTAGGCAGCATATTTTCATTCAAACAGATACCGTTAAATAATTTAGACATATCATGTCGATTAGTTTTCGTTGTGATCCTTTTACGGATTATTTTTTTTCATTTTATCCTTTTACGTTCGTATCACGCATTCTCTACTTTGGCTGTCTCTTGGTATTTGATAAACATTAGTATTAAAAATAATATATATTTACCTACTTATGATTGTGTGTACGGTTATACATATATGATAATTTTCTAAGCGTAGCTTAGATGTGGCACAAGGCCGAAAGTAGGGGGTGCTCAGTGAGGACTGAACTCACTACTTAATTATAATTGTTCTAGAGAGATAAGCTTTTTAACCATGACGCTACGTTGAAGTGGGCACGTGTATACATAGGCGTTTGTATGTGTATTATTGTCTGTGTATAAAATATGAGTAAATGTGCTTATGCGTGTGTACCTGTGAGTCTGTGAACATTTCAGTGTGTGTTTGTGTATACATATATGAATTTGTGCTTCTGTATTGCAGTATACTTGCATGTGTGTGTGCGTGTCTATGTGCGCGAGCCATTATGTGCGTGTTTATGTGTTTACCTGTATATATGTGATGTAACAGAGAGAGAACGGAAAGGACAGAAAGAAAAAAAGAACTTGTGTATAACTTTTATTTTCTTTACTCTCTTTTCTATGTTTTCTCTTTCTCTCTTTTTCCCCCCTTCTTTCTTCCGTGAAAATTCCAATAATCCGGAGGAGCCTCATGATGTTAATGGAAGTGTCAACAAAGATTTAAACCGTATTCTCCCCTGCCAATTTATATTAACATGTTAAATATATACAGGGTGATTGAAAAGTATTTTATGAGTATGAGTGATCAGCCAGAAGTCCAGACTTAACATATTGTGACATTTTTCTTTGGCGTTGGCTAGAAGAGCAAGGCTACCATACCAAACCAAGACTTTGGAAGAACTTGAAAGGCGAATAGAATAAGTTGTGTCTTCCATACCACAAGAATTCCTGGTGAAATCAGATGACGCGATTCCTGGGCGGCCCGAGAAGATGGTAGCGAAATCTGGTGCCCATAGCGAATTTTAAATAAAACTTCATGCTAAACGCTTTCCTCTCATATCCATTTCTTGTAAAAATTATAATTAATAAGGAAATTATAAGTATTTTAAGATAGGGAGTTACTTATCCAATCACACTATATATATATATATATATATATATATATATATATATATATATATATATATATATATATATATATAAGTAGCTCAAAAAATGAAAAAACAATGAGATTACTTGATAAGAAAAAGGCCCCAAACTTAATAAAAACAAAGTTTTATCGTCCAAATATTTCTTACGATTAAGAGGAAAAATAAAATGATTTTTTCTAAAAATTGTTTTTTAGCCTTTCTTAGAATCTTGTAAAACTCTTTATCTTACTTATGAAACTCTTTCCCTGCTTCTTGTCAACTTTGATCTTCATAAATGTTAATGCAATGTCAATCGTTATCCTTTGTCTTCTTAATTCCAGTTATTTTATATATATTCCTAAGAGGATAGAATCAGGTAGAACTCAATGTCCAGGACAGAGTAAGGATATAATATAAAAGGCTCAAACACTAATATTCCATGGTTATATTTATTACATTGGAATTGCAATCACAATTCAAATCATCAGACCTACAAATTCAAAAAAAATCGGAATATATATATATATATATATATATATATATATATATATATATATATATATATATATATATATATAATAAGAAGGCTTAAACACTAATATTCCATGGTCATAATTTATTTAAATACATCCAATTCATATAGCTATATATATATATATATATATATATATATATATATATATATATATATTACAACAACCAAAATTACGTCAACATGAGTATAGTCTATTTCAAGCTGGCCTGAACCCAGCCATCTTAAGTTTAAGAGCTGAAGACGGCTGGCTTCAGACCAGCTTGAAATAGACTATACTCATACTTATACTTATATTCATTAATTGTGTGGTAACAAATGTAAAAAAAAACATTTCTACCAAGATTTTCTAAATAAAAAAAAGAACAAAAATTTCTAAAATAATTTAATTGATTTGTGAATAAATTTTGAAAGTTTCATTAAAATCCAACAATTATTTGATTTTTTACAAGAATTACCAAATCAATAAGTTTTGTTACCGAAAAAAAGGCGCTCTCAATCGTAACATAAAAAAATGAAATAACACTAAGTCATTATTTAATTAGAAAAGCTTTTAATTGATTTTATGGATGATATATTACGGACACTTTTGTCTTAAGAAAAAATTTTTTTTTACAAGAACTGGTTTTTGTTTTTGTTTTTTAATTTTAATTAAAATAATATATAAAGTTTTAAATCATTTAAATTTCTGTACAGGTTTTTAAATCTTTTACATTTTTGAACCGGTTAGATGATATTGTTATTAAGTAAAAACTATATTTACTAGTCATAAATTGAAAAGCTTAGTAGAAATCATCGCGCTCCAATAGTTTATAAGAATTTTGAATTTTTTTATATGCATAAACGTGCCTATTTTCTTTTGTATGGTGGATAATACATGACATTATCGGAAAATAAGAGCGATAACTATAGTAAATTTACAGCCAAAAATATTTAAAATTCAATAAAACATTAATATTTTCTTTAAGATTACTGAGTACTTAAAAAATTATATATAGACGGCGCTCACGTTAATTCAATTGCTTTTTTAACGCCTAAAGCCCCCATAGAACAATATTAGATAAATATCAACCTGTCAACAAGTTGTCAAACCCGCGGACGCCTTAACTAAACAGCTCCGATATTTAAAACTTAAAGTAAATAACAGTTGTTTCAAATCAGATTAAAGTATAATTAATCTGATTTGAAACAACTATTATTTAATCAGATTTGAAACATCTATTATTATCTGCATATATTCCTCAAATAAAATTTCAGAAAAGTATATTTTATTTTTGTAAGATCTTAATGGATAACGGCTCGGATTGCGGAATCGGAGAACAGAGTTCGAATTCCAGTCGAATCCATTACATTCACTTACATGCTAATAACCTTGGGAAAGGTATGAGTCCTCTTCTCCCCCCAAGCTAAATAGCCTCGATAAATAGCTATTGGATGGCAGTCTGATCTACTGATCGTGTATCATAACTGACTGACCGAAGGTTTTTAATAAAGAGATACATATATTTATTTTATTTATTTATTTATTTATTTATTTATTTATTTTGCAGTACCTACATCCAATCAAAGGTTAACTATACATTGGATGGGGCGTTAGAGTTGTTTTTTAGTACGCAAAGGGGCAGCAATCTCCCAAAAGTTTTGGAACCACTGAACTAGCGCCAGTAACAGTATTTATTTTAACAAAACCAGTACGCTAAAACCCACAGTAATGATGACTTGTGATTTCTTGCCAGCGTAACCTACTGTAATACTGTTTCCACCTGCCACAATAACGTTACAACACTAACATGCAAAATAATATATTTTAAACGTATACACATATAGAAACATTTATAAATATATAGTATATAGATATAGTCACAAACACACTCATACACGCACGCACACATAGAAACAGGAATAGAAGAGAGAGAAGCTTACGACGTTTCATCTGTGAGAATATCATCCGATCAACATATATATTCGACTCTACCGTTGAATTCGACGTATCAGGGTCAAGCAGATCAGTTCCTAGGAAACCGACAGCCCGACAACAGGTCCCCAAATGACCCTCCGCAGGTTTTGAATTCAAAGTTGTCCTTCTCCTAGACCAGTTGCCATCCAAGGCTATAGAACCCAATCTATCCTGCTATTTACCCATAGCATGGAGGGAGAAGAAGAAAAGGATCCACACCTTTCCCAAGGGTGTTAGCACGTAAGTGAATGTAATGGATTCGACTGGAATTCGAACTCGGCTCTCTGATTCCTCAATCCGAGCTGCTAGCCATTACTACACCGTACCTCCTCTCTCTATATATACATGCATGTATGTATCTATATTAACACACAGAAGCAAACTAATATATATATAAATATATATATATATATATATATATATATACATATATATATATATATATATATATATATATATACATATATATATATATATATATATATATATATATATATATATATATAAATATATATATATACACATGTGTATATATACATATATATATATATATATATGTATATATATATATATATACATATATATATATATACATATATATATATATATATATATATATATATATATATACATATATATATACACACATATATATATATATATATATATACATACATATATATATGTATATATATATATATATATATATATATAAATATATATATATATATATATATATATATATATATATATATATATATATATATATATATATATATATATATATATATATATACATACATATATATATATATATATATATATATATATATATATAAATATATATATATATATATATATATACATATATATATACATGTATATGTATATATATATATATATATATATATATATATATATATATATATATATATATATATATATATGTATATATATATATATATATATATATATAGTAGGTAATAGCAATAGACTGTAGATA